CACAACTGCTTAAACCACACAGAATTGTAGTCCAGCCAAGTTGACACACAGCTCCAGCTATCACAGAAAGAAACTTGAGAGTGGGGCAAAATAAGAATGATTGTGAATCTAACAAATAACAACGACTGGTCACAGCGGAAGATTGTTAAGTTGAAAGAAAAGATTAAATTGGCATGTGAACTACCAAAAAATCGTCTTCTCTTTGGTTCCCCGGAAGAAACTATTTTATGACATTTCCTTTCTAAGTGTCTGTTTAATATCAGTCCTACTTTTGGTTTCAGACATGTGAGGAATTTGAGTAGCATTTGCATGTATTTTGATATAATTAAAAAATTGGGTGAAAGAGCATTTGAGATACCTGAATTCAAATCTCAGCTCTGAATAACCCAGAGACCAGTGACTTGTCCTTATCTTGAAGTCATGAGATTATTGTAACAATAAACTGAGAACTCATTTTTTATCACATAATAGTATCACACTAATATAAAATTGTCAGTTCACTTTAATTACATTATTATTGTTGTTAGGTCCTGGTGAGTTGGTTCTGACTCATAGAGACCCTCTGTACAATAGAATGAAACACTACCTAGTCCTGCTCCATCCTCCCAATGCTTAGTCAGTATATTTAAGTACATTGTTGTAGCCACTGTGTCAGTGTATCTTGTTGAGGGTCTTCCTCTTTTTAAGCAACCCTCTACCAACCATGATGTCCTTTTGCAGAGACTGACCCCAAAGTACACGAGACACAGTTTCACCATCCTTGATTCTCAGGAGCATTCTGCCTGTTTTTCTTTATAGACAGATTTGTTCATTCTTTTGTCAGTAGGTGATATATTAATAATGTTCCAAAACTGCAGACCAAACCCACTGCCATTGAGTCAAACCATTCCAACTCATAGCAACACTTTTAAGATAGAGTAGAACTGCCCTTTAGGGTTTCCAAGGCTATAAATCTTTCCAAAAGCAGATTGCCTCATCTTTCTCCTGGGGAACAGCTGGTGGGTTCGAGCTGCTAACAGCTGAGTGCTTTATCCACTGTTCCACCAGAGCTCCCTCCATTAATTACATTGTTGTTGTTGTTGTTGTTGTTGTGTGCCATCGAGTCAGACCCAACTCATAGCAACCTCTCCTTGGGTTTCCGAGGCAGTATCACTGTGGGAGTAGATTGCCCCATCTTCCTTCCAAGGAGTGGCTGGTGGGTTTGAACCACCAGCCTTCTGGTTAGCAATCAAGTGCCTTAGGCACTATGCTACTAGAGCTCCTATTAATTACATTAGAGAAGCTGAATGTACAGTTAAATTGACATTTTAAATTTGTTTTGAGTTGAAACTACCTTGAATACCTCAGTGTCATAATAAATAATCTTGCTGTCTGACTTCAGTACCATTCAAGAGAAAGGAAGAAACCGGAAATTGTATAGAATTAATTTTTTTATTTGCATTGCTTTAGATTTGGCATGGCTAATAGATATGACCATTATCCTTTTTTCCTTATTTCTTGATGATTATTTACTTTCATTATTTTCACAAAATGTAGTTATAAGAAAACTTCCACTGGGATGGAGTATATGCTGGTGTGAAGGTCTTAACCAGGAGTGCACTGACATACCCATTTCTGAAAATAAGTTATGAATAACAGTTTATGAAGTCGGGAGATGAATAATCTTCACAGCCTTTTTTTCTTGCCTATTTACTGTTAGTAATGAGGATATTGCTGTCTGGAATAAAAATATTAGTAACCATTATGATTATTGTGGCTAGAGTTGCTATAACGCTTAAATCTGAACCTCTAAGGATTTTATAGGTAAATATTAGAAATGATCTCTTTTATGCACATCTCTTGATAATAATTTTGCTCTTTTTCTCCCTATCTCACTAACAAGTGCTGGCATATACTTAGTAGTAACAGTTTCCATAAGATTTAAGTCAAACCAGACTTAAATGCTCGCATAACTTTTCCATTTCTGTTTTATAGTTTAATTTTAAAAAATTAGGAGAAAATGTGGCTTACAACCAAACAAAAGATAGGCATGTGAGCTTAATATTTACATTACGTAGATATACTCCTTGGAGAGATCAGTCATGGGAGAATAGAAGGGCTGTGTATGCACAGGGAGACAACTTGTGGGGGGCAGGAGTGCGTGGGAGGGAAGGACACAAGGAAGAGGTAGTTACGGGGAGGAAGTGAGAGGAAAGCTTTTGGCTTTGTGAGAGATTACAGTCAATGTCATGAGATAGTGTATGTGAACTATTGTGTGGAAGACGGATTTGCTCGGTGAACTTTCATCCAAATCACAATAAAATTTAAAAAAAAAATAATTAGGAGGAAAAGAGAAAGTATAATAAACATGACATCATTTCCAGAGACCAAAGTGAAAAAAATAAAGTGTATTACTGTCTCATAAAAAATAATGTGATTACTTAGGTGAACTACAGTAAAGGAATGACACATTTTTCCATTTTTGTAAACTACAAAGAAATTTTAATTCCAGGAATGTGATTTACCACAAAAATGTCTAATTTTAATTACCCAAGAGTAAAATCCAGGATTTCAAATTGAAAATATCCTAATATGAACTAAGTGACTAAGAAGTAATCTCACTTTAAAGTTTCTAAAGATTAAAGAGACAAAATGTAAAGAATATCATGTAGCCTCATGTGCATGGCACATGTTCATTATGGGTTGTATAATTATCACACATCCTTGCAAAGGACGGATTTAGTCCCATGAAGGTTAAATAACTTTTTTTAACATACATATTTGGTAAATAATTAGAACTGGGATTTAAGCTGAAGTCTAATCCAAAGCCCATATTATTTTCTTTTCTTTTTTTTAATTGTGATTTGGGTGAAGGTTTACAGAGCAAATTCACTTTCCATAAAGCGGTTCACATGTACTTTGTCTCATGACATTGACCACAGTTTACCACAATGCAACAGCTCCCCTACCACTTTCTCCTCATGGTTACCTCTTTCCTGTGTCCATCCCTCCATGGACTCCTGCCCCCTGAGCTGTCTCTCTGTGCATAAGCAGCCCTTCTTTCTGCCATGATTGTTCTCTCCAAGGAGTGTATCTACTTGAGGTAA